CCGGGGGGGTGGCTGGTGGAGAGCGGCAGTCGGGAGGGGGCTGCATCAGGGGGAACCCTTTGTTGGCTGGGAGGTGTTTAATCAGTTTATTCTGAACAGTTTCTGCAAGTGTTCAATGATAGTAAAAAACGTGGGGAGGCAGAAAGGCAACACCTCTGCCTTCTGTGACAGAGGGTGGGGGTGGATGTGGGAATGGTGTCCAGTGCTCTCACAAGGGATTAGAAAAGAGTTTAAATACAGCACAGGATTACGTGGCTGCTGCTGTTCTGTATCATGTGGCTATACTGGTAGGACACTGGGGGTTCACCCAGACACGGTGTCTGTCAGCAGTGAGCTCTGTTCTGCCCAGGGGGGAGCTGGAAGAGCGCCGGCCCTAAAACACACTGACCTAAGCAAAGCAGAACAAAATCAGCACTTGCCAGAAACCGCGACTTCATTCCCAGTGGGAGAGCAGGGAATTCTTACAGCTGCTTTGCTTTAATAAGCTTTGGGGGTTTGATCTTTTCCTTAAGCAGTGGCCTCTGACTTTGCACCCCAAGGCATTCTGCTGATGGATGCCGTGTTTTAATCTGCAGGTGCAGCCAGGGACCGAGTCATTAATCACACCCACAACAGGGTTCAGGGGCTTTGTTGTTTGGTTGTGATTTTTTGTTTGGTTTAGTTTTGTTTTGTTTTTTTCCCCCTGAAAAATTGCAAGTACAAACCTCCAGGTTTTGCTAAAGGGTGTTGTGAAAACCAGGCCATAATGTTGACTTCTAAATGACATGGTAACTAAGGGCAAATGCAGTTGTTTAACCTCAGACAGATGCTTCCATCATCTGGGTGGCAGGGTGTGTGGTGGTCCTCTGCCCTGAGATAGATCTGTTTTTTCAGGATTCATAACTTTTTGTCAGACACTTCAGTTTGTATTCTGGAAATTGCTGTGGGGAGATAATTTTTAGTTGCAAAAGCAAATAATTTCCCCCTCAGAACATGACCATATGTGACAAATCTGATCCAGGGAGCTCCAGCCCTCATGGTCTCTATCACATGGCTGTCAGGCTGCCAGCCCTGGCCACCTTTCAGAGCTGACTGATATTTTGGGTGCCCTCCCTGTCCTGCTGCTCTCCACTGAGTCTTCATTTCACCAGTTTCCTACAGAAGCCAACCTCCCATCAGGTTTCCTCTTGGTTGCAGTTTAAATCTCAGCTGCAACCTGATTTATCATTTCCTGGAATTAGAGGGTAATGAAGAATACAGGCTGAGTGTCAGAACCTGGAGAGGAGTGGGGTGGAATTGCCCTATCAGTTTCTCCTGGATTTTCTGCTTCTGCACAGCCACAAATTGAAACATCTGGTTCTATTTTCCACCTCATCTACATTCCCTTTCACTCATTGTTTTCTGTACTGCAGATTAATTCTCCCCTCCATCCTACTACCTTTCAGAAAGTTTAATTCCCAGTGTTTCTGTGTGGTTTCCCCCCTTTCTTACACAAGCTCTCCCACCTCCCCAGCCAAAATCCCCAGTGTTGGCTCATCGGTTGTCAGCAGCAATGCTGAGGCCTGATCCTCACCACATCCACAGCAGGAAGCTGCAAAAGCAGATGCCCAGGAAGGGCATCCTCCATCTGCTGCCATGCAGGGCAGCTCGTGGTGCCGTGCCGGCCGCGGATCCCTGTCTGGGCACAGACCTGGGCAGGACCTGGGCAGGGATCTGCTCGGGCAGCTGTCGCTGGGAGGAGCGGCCGTGGCCGTGCCGGGGGCTGGCACACACGGAGGTGTCTGAGTGATGAGCTGGGATGTGCTCAGGCACAGGTACACCCGTGTGGAGTCCTGAGCCTCACCCACCTCGAGCTTAACGTGAGTACCCGTTATCAGCGCCAGTGGGAAGCCTGGGAGGGTTCAGTGCCTGAGGAGGAGGAGGCAGGTTGGGTGGGGAATATTTGTTTATGTTGACTGAAAGCATGGGCAGAGATTCCTGCTTCTGCCTGTCTGTAACTGCTGTGGGCAGCAGAAGTGACAGCAGGCAGTGGGGAAACTTCTGTATTTGCAAGAACTCATTTTTACAAGCTGCTGAGAAATCCCTTGGAGTGTTGAGTTTCAGGACTTGGGCCTCACAGGATGTAAAAGCTGCATGTGCATGAGACAGAGGCTCAGAGGCTCAGAACAGTTCCTCCTCCTTCTCCTCCTTCTCCTCCTCCTCCTCCTCCTCCTCCTCTGGTGGAACAGGCTGATGGGGCTCCTCATGCTGAAGTCAGTGAACTGTAGTCTTGCTGCCTAGCAAAATGTTGAAGCATTTCATGCCAAGTGTTGATACACTGTACTTGGTATTGACGAGGGACCTTTTAGAAACATTCAGTATAACATAATAGACTAATTCATTAGCTCCCCATGGGTCTAGTACTGGAGAAGCTGAAGCACATGCATTGTAAGCTAGGAAAACATTGCCTTAAGGAATGGCAGATTAAAATATCTTTCCCATGATATAACTGTTATTTCAGGAAAGTGGCATTAATTGTGATTGCTTATCTATTAATTTATTATAATTCCTCTTTTCCCACCTCCAGGCTGTACCTACACATGAAATGTACTCTAGGCTCAGCCGGGGCTGATTAATAGGAGGTTATCTGGGAAATGCTTAAAGCTGCCTGGAATAGATAATGGCAGCAGGGGTAATTAAAATGTCTTTTGCATTTGAAAAATAAATTTTGTCGGTTTTAAGGGTTAGTTTAGTTTGTTTTTTCCCTTAGGGAAAAAAAGATAAAATGGATCTTCAAAATCACACAGAATTGAACAGTACACTAGACAACAGCATTCCAAATGGAAACAAAAGTGGCATGACAAAAACCCCAACCCAAAGTGCCTCCTGGAGTCAGAGAAGAACTGGCCCGTGTTTAATGAGAGTGGAGTTAATTTCAAGCTGAGTTCTCATGCAGAATAAACCCGCAGTACTGACCACAGCAGGGCTGCTCCTGGATGGACAGACAGAAACACCCCATTCTCCCTGAAACTTGGCCCCATCAGATCCTGTCTGTGGGACTACAGCCTTGCAAATCCACACATATGCTCCTCTTTCAGTGTGTGGGTAGCTGCACTGAAATCAAAATGACTGGGAGGGGAAATAAAACCAGAACCTACATCTGTGCAGAGCCAGAGCACTCCAGGGGGTGAGCCAGTCCAGAAGCAGGGAAGGGGAAGACTGATGTTGCTCAGAACGAGCACCCAGGCCATGCTGCGGCTGCTGAGACGTTACAACCAAACCACTATGGCCTGATTCTAACCTGAAGTTTAGTCCAGCCCTGCACTGCCCTCCTTTTAGGGTACCAGAGCTCCCTTGCCCTTGCTTTTCCCACCCAACCTGTCCTGGTTGGACACCCAAGACAGGGCTCCTGCCCATTCTCCATCTGCTCAGACTGTCTCCTTGCTTTCCATGCTGGCTCAGCAGAGAGTGTAAAAGGTGTTTGCACAGATTAGATACTTTACCAGAGTGGTGAAGATGAAGTGGTAGTATTCTGTCATCATTCCCATTGCCATGGCCTTGAGGAGAGCAGGGAAAGGAGGTTAGTAAGAGTGGATACAAGAATATAACAACAGTCATGCAATATAAACCTCTAAAGAGCTGATGGGGTCAATGTGGCAGGAGGCAGACACAGAACACAGAAGCTGGATTCTGGATCAGTCCCATGAAGCAGTTAAGCATGTGCAAGGTGCGTCTGCTTAAGTGCTGAGCTGAACTGTGGTCCTCAAACCTACTGAAACAGCAGCAGAGCTCAGTGTCCAGCACCTGCAGAGGCTGGTGGCATTTCTGGGTGTGGCTGTGGGACCGACCGTGGCGCATCGTGTGCTCGTGGGTCACACAGGGTGCAAAACCTTCCAGCAGTGCAGGCTGGCTCCTCTTGGCACGGGTAGAAGTGGGGCTGCCTTTCCTTCTCAGATAACAAACAATGAGCAACCTTACCTAAACCTGTGCAGAATTATCATAAACCAGCCTATTCTTATGGTTACAAGTCCAGGTACTTGCTAAGAAGCCGAGTAAAAGGCTTTTTATTCCTTACACGTGTATTTCTGGTGCTCTGCATCCCCTCCCCGTCAGTGTCTGTACAACATGTACCTGTAGCTCTTGTCTCTGAGTCCCTCCTTCCTGTGTGCTACAGCCAGGTTCTAACGTCGTGCCTGGTTTGGAAACGGGTCAGTGAAAGTAGAGGCACAGGGATGGGGACATCTCCCATCCCTTCGCCCTTGGAGATGGTGGTCTGGGCCCAAGGACTCTTGGCGAGCTCGGGCTCTGGGTGTGCCAGCCCTGACACAAAGGATGGTTCGTGCAGATTGCTGGGATGTGCATAACTGAGCATGGAGAGAACAGGCTGTTCTGTGAGGTTTGTCAGAGAATGGCTGTGGGCTGAAGGGACCTCGGATCGATGACCATGTCCAGGCCCTACACAACACGAGGGGAATGCATTTCTGTCTGTGAGAAAGGTCACCTTGAAGTTGGTGGAAAGAGATAAAGGAAAGGGATACCCATGATCTGGACCGTGATGCTGGCTCTGTGAGCATGTTTTCTGGAGAAAACACGTGCAAGAGCACTTTAAAATCTCCACTGATGGGAAAATGACTTCCAAGTCCCCCAGGAAATGTTTGCTTCCCTTGGTTTTTGCTAAAATTACTAGGGCAGAATTTAGCCCCAAGGAAGGAAGTGATAGTTTGAAGTGAGATGTCAACAAAGGAAAAGGAAAGGATCTAGATTAGAAGGCTAGATACTCTAGAGTGTGACGTTATGCCACGTTTTCTGGCCTGTAAGTACCGTTGTTCAGCATGGGGAGCTGTGTCTGCAGCAGTGCCCTGTCCTGCCCCCTCCTCTGCCCCTCGCTGGGCTGCGGGGCTGCCTCCCAGCTCTCTCCTCACCTCCAGTGCTGGTGCAAGGAGCTGGAGCAGGGAACGATACCCCAGCATGTGAAGCATTAGTTAGATGATGTGAAACCAGTCAAGAGGAAATCATGAGATTCCAGCTCAGATTCTACAGCTGGATAGTTTCAGAGGTAGATGGAGAGGCCAGACCTGCAAGGAGCAAGCTCAAGCTCTCCAGTGCTGGCAGCCTGAGTGCAGGACACATCTGGGTTTGTGGGGAAATGAATAAATGATAAACCTGGTGGGTAGGTTACAGGCAGTCGCTGGGATGAGGATGGGAGCTCCACTAGCATTAAGACAAGCACATCTGTGCACTGCAGAGTGCAGCAACTGTTCAGAGACAGCTGCCAAGGAGAACAGAGAAGCTGGGGAGCCAGGGAACAGATGTAAAGCATTAACAAGGAACCAAAAATGAGCAAGGCCAGAGAAACTGGGCTAGGGTGGGAAGGTCTCACAAAAAGGCCCTGCTCTGTGGCAGGTTTCTACAATGATTTGTTTGTCCAAGAGGGTAAAATAATGAATGGTTTGATGTCTCAGTCACTCCAAGGAACCCAGACTGGAGCAGTGTGTGGCAATGTCATCTGCACGTCTTTGTGCCAGCTTTCGTGTTGTCATTCATGGATGGGGTTTTTTACTACTCCAGTTTCAAAATACTGCCCAGATGATCAGCAAAGTGCCCTCACCACTCGTGTGCTGTGGGAGCATGTTGCCTGGAATAACTTGGGAGCACTGTCCAGACTGGTGTGATAGTGCTTGCTTAGTCAGAGCTGCATGAGCGAGTGTAGGCTGGAGTTGCTGAAACTGTTCTCTTTTACCTAAAGATGAGCAGTTCAATTCAGTACCAAGTGGTGGACGCTTGAGAGAACCTCTTTGCCATCCCTTGGCACTGCTCTGGGGAGGGCAGTGCAGCTGAGAGGCTCCAGGGACTTTGCCTGGTCAGACCAAAGAGCAGCAGCCAAATGTCTGCAAAGCTAACTGGTGTAGTTACCAAAACAGTATGAAAGGTAAATAATGGCAATAACACATGAATGTTATTGTTTCTGGGACAAACAGAATGCTGGGCCATTCTTCCCTGACACTTTTGCAGTCCATTTCTTTTTCCTGTGTGTTGTTCTAATGCTGCATAGCACAAGTAGACTCTTCCAGGAGATGGTTTTGGCTTTACCCAGCTCATACTTCTGGTGAACGTGCAAATCAGAGAGTGAGGGGGGCAGGAGTCAGGGTTGGGAACCCTGTTTGTCTGTCCCATTCTATTGAAAAGGAAAAAGCTGTTTCACAAGTGAGGGTGGCACCTCTAGATATGAATTTAATGGGCAGAAAAGTTAGGAAGAGGTGAGGTTTCTGAGCTTCCTAATTCTTTAATGAATTCGAGGGCCAGCAGTGGGAGAGACACGAGGGTTGTGGTGTGCACTGCTTGGAGCCTCCTCTGCGTCTGAGTGCGCGAGGGTGCAGAGAGGTTTGGGTTTGTGTACCTTCCCAAACTCTGAAAACATTAACAATTTTTTCCAGAGTAAAGATAATGCTATATAATATTGCTAAGCTGAAATCTATGGCTTTGGGTCCCAACAAAATCCAAAACACACACAAAACCAGACAGAAGGACTCAGAAAGATTTCTTTTCCCCCAGCCCCCCATCTCCTCCATCTTCCTCACTCTGCACTCACAGTGATGAGCAGAGCAGATGGCACAATAAACTATAATAAACTGCATAATAAGTGAACAGCACCAAACACAGCCAGCATGTTAAAATAATAGGCAGGAGACAATGAGTCCCTTATATTGCTTTCTTTAATAATCCCTCCCAGGCTTTCTGATTTCTCTGAGCACTTCCCTTCATTTTGTATCAAGCAGGCTGCAGAAGTCTTTCCATGTGCTTGCTTTCTCAGCCCTTCAGGGGATTTATTTAATCTATGTGGTAGTGCCTTGCTGGGCAGATAGGAGCAACACTTCCACAGACAGGTTTTCAGCATTCTTTGTGAGAGCGTTTTCATCTGACTCCTATTGACCCTGGAACCTAAGGGCACATGGAAACGCAGAGGAGCTGGGGTGAGCAGCAAACCTTCTGGTCTGCGAAAAATGCCAGTGGAGGAGCTCGGGGAGGAAGGAGAGAGACCAAATGAATGGAAAATCACTGACATCTGGCTTAAAGTCCAAGAACTGCACGTGGTGCTGGTGAAGGGGCAGGGGCCGCCGGCCCCCCTGGCTGGCCCAGTGCCTTGCAGCGAGGCGCAGGAGGTGTGCCCAGCTCGGAGCAGAGCGAACCGGACTGGCACAGCCCATCCCCGGCCCCTCCGTGTGGGCACGGGGCCACAAACCCGGGGGCACGAGCTCCACAGGAGGGAAAGCAGATGGTTAAAATGGGCAAGCACGAAAGCTCATCCAGGGCTAAATGAGCAGTGGTAGAAGGGACCCAGAGCACAGTCCTGCCTGGTGCTGCGGGCAGGGGCTGGGGCTGGGTGGCAGCAGGGGAGTGGGACCACAGCCCGGGCTCAGCGCTGCGTCTGACCCACCCGCCTGGCTCTTCTCCTCCCGTGACATCTGCTCGTTCTTACCGCTTTGTGATACCTCCAGTCTCCCAGTGGCAGCGACGTTCTCTGCAGGGATCCGGCAGTGCCCTGGCAGGCTCTGTAGGCCGCAGCGTTCAGCGTGGCTGTGGCTTGTGGGCAGAGGGGAGCGGCGGCTCCGCAGCCCTGCCTGGGGGGCTCTCCCCTAGTGCGGCCACCCCCCGACGGCCACCTCTGCCCGGCCCCCGTCGCCCCCCGCTCACCTGCTTGAGGATCTGAGCTGCCATCAGGTGGCTGCAGTCGAAGATGATGCGGAATTCCCTGCCCCGCTTCATCTCCTTCAGCAGCGGGCGGGCGTCGTCCGTGTCCAGCGGGAGCTGCCGGATCTTCAGCCGGATGTTGTACCTCGACGGGGCCATGATGAGCTCTTGCAGCCGTATGAGGCCTTCAGGCATTGCACAAAGACAAACCCACAGTGTCACAGGGGGACCCTGCGGGCTGGCTAGCACAGCCAGGGATTTCTTCCTATGCTATTTTACAGGATACAATCAAGGCCTCTCTCCCCCCATCCCCCTCCAACAGCCATTGCTAAAGGCTTATCGAAGCCAAGGTGCCATGTGCCAGTCATTAAATCCTCAGGTATTTCCAGAGTAGCTCTTTTAAGGCAGAATGGCTTTTCCTGGTGTTTCTCTGCTGTCCCTGCATCCAGCTATGGTAGAGCTGGGTCCTTGCACTGGGTGGGAAGAGGAGAATAGCAGATTTGTCCTAACCTTTGCCATCTCTGGGACCACAACGTTTTTTTTAAGCAAATGTGTCTTTGAGAAAGGACAGAATGTGACAATCAGCCATACAACAAATTAAAGTCTGCAATATTTACTGTGCACAGCAGCAAAAGAAAAAGACAAGTATGTGCTTGATTTATGAATGGCATAGTTCCTAACAGCCACTTAGTCACAACTTGCAACTTTCTTGTTACCCTTGGGAAACCATTTGGGTTTTGTGAAGAAGGTACAAAGCCAAGTTGGATGCAGCTGAGCAGGAGTTATTGTCATCTAAAGTTGCAAGAAGATATTCAGCAGCAGATGCCTATTGTGAAGAGGAAGAGTACATCCCTCTACATAGTGGAAGAAATACATTAAAATATGCTACGAAGGGAACATACTGTGACCCACATTTGCAAAACAGGAGTGTCAAACTGTGTTCTCATCAGCCCTCCCCTAAAGAAACCATTTGGTTTAGTGGAATTAGTTTGGACAGGCTATCCAATGCAGCTTTTGTTTTGGTTTTGGTTTTTTTTTTTTTTTTATCTGTGCAGTGCTTTGCTTTGTTTAACCATCAACAGCTTTCTTTATGTAAAAAACTTTGTCAGCTGTGTTTCATAGAATTAGCCAGAAAACAAAAAACTTTCCAGGATTGCTTTTGCTTTTAGCTGGGAAACTTGCAGCCTCAATGGCAGGCGCAGAGCAGAGAGCTTTGCTTGTGTGGATGGGCACCCTGGTGCCAAACAGAGCTGAGCTCAGCCAGACCACACCCGCGCACAGTTAATCCTCCCCCTGACCCTTTGTTGGCCGGGGTGGTGCTGAGGGTCACCCACTTTCTCAGCCCTTTGTGGATGACATGCTTCAGAAGGGATCCCAGGGCCCTCTGCCATGCCCAAGTGCTGGGAAACCAATCACTGAGTAGGGTGTCATTTTGCTCCTAAAAGGGTTAATTAGGAAAGTTTCTAAATGGGACCCACATCAAAAAGTTCTCCTGGAATCCTCCTTTAAAGCCCCTCCTTTACCTACCTGTGCTGTCATCATAAACCACAGTGGCTGACCTCCACTTCAGGTACTGCACCAGGTCCAGAATGGCGTGGCTAAGGGAGGCGTAGTCGGGGTAGAGGTTGACGTAGAAAGTGTCCTTGTTATCCAAAGGGTGGTGCTTCCATCGGAGCTGTATGTGGGGGACTTCCAGGGCATTGCAAATAGACTGGACAGCGTTGGTACAGGAGCCTTGGGAAGGTCCAAATATTGCTACGACCCCCAGTGCGAGCTGGTCACAGGCTGGAAGAGGAAGGGAGGGGAGAGTGGTGTCAGTAACCTGCGGGCACCTCTGCGGGAGTGTCGTGGCGGCCGTGGGGCACCAGCAGCTTCTTTCTGACCTGGGTCATGGAGCAGTGGATGGACCCACAAGCTTCTGGGCACTAACAGCAGTGGTAATGAAAACAGTGATGAGAGGGAAAAAAGAATAATTGTTCCACTTATATTAAAATGTCTCTGGAAGGTCAGCTCCTGGAGGTTTTCTCATCTAGAGCAGGACAAAATGAGTGACTGGGTCTCAAGTGCAATTATGCCTTTTTTTTTTTTCCTGAGTAAATGGCCACAAAGCTGCTAAGGAGTGCTCTGTGCTCTTACCTTTCTTAGTTGCTTCAAAGCTGTCATGAAAGTGTATCCTCTGAATGTCGTAGGTCAGTGTTGTGTTAGGCAGCAAAGTTCTGTTTCTATTAATAATATTGGCAGAAAATCTGAAGGCTTGCTCCTCAGCACTCATGAGCTGGGTGTTGGGGCCATCTGCGTACTCAAAGATCCCTCCTGCAAGATAAGACAAAACCAGCATTAAGCCACATAAAATTTGGTTCATTTGGTAATCTTATGTAGCAAAGACGAGAAGACTCCTGGGCACAGTTGTGACATTTGCAGGCTGAACAAGGCTTGCTCCAGGACATTTCCTGGACTGAAATAAAGACATTCAAATATTTGGGGTTTTATTAGATGCTGGTCCATCCAAGTGTTCAGAATGCCAGATTTGTAGGGCAGTGGGGGACAAAAGTAAAGTCTTGGAATATTTTTATGAGACAGATGAGTGACTTCCCAAAAAAACTCTGGGAGCAGACCTTGGGAAGCGGGTACAGGCTTGTTGCTCAGCTACAGAGATGCTCCAGGCCTGTGGGAGCTGGCACTGCCCTTCCCTTAGTGCCATGTGGGGCTCCTCCCTGCCTCGCCCACCCACCTCCCCATCCTCACGCGGGAGGCGGGCGGTGCAGCACTGCTGCTTGCTATTTTTAGTGCCCTTTTCATCTTCCATTGTTCCTCATGTTTAGTTATCCAAGTTCTTAATTCAGATCATCAGAGACTTCTGGATTTGCCTACCCTACAGCTTATCTGCTCAATAATGCACATCTCGGACACGTGCTTTCTCGTGTTCGAGAGCTGTTAATGCCATTACACCTCCCTAAGGGCAGCGAGCTCGTGTCACAGCACCGCTGGGTTTCCTGGCTCTGTATCTGTGCACCTTGTCCTCAGTTCCCCACTGACAGCCACTCTAACTGACGTGACAGTGCGGGTGTAAATTACCTAATTGCATGTCCTTGTCTCCGAGGTGCAGGCACCATCCTGTGCCCCTCACAGAACCACGGAAAGACACACAAACCTGGCTCGATCTTATAAAAACTAAACCAGAATAATTAATGGATGAGCAAGATAAGCAAGTGCAATTGGTAACAGATGGTCTCTGGGTTCATTAGGAGAAGGAAAATCTTCCTCTTCAATTTAACGTAGTCCTAAAATGTTTTGTTATAGACAACAGACGCCTACTTAGCCCTCCCAGCTTTCAAGCAACTGTATGAATCCTCCTCCAGGATTCAGGACATGTTATTTATAGTTTTGGTGGTGATTTGGTGTTAGGCAAGAGTACCAGGTTGGCAAGAGCCAAGCTGACATTTCTGTTGACAGCCACACTCTCTGCATCCTCCCAGGAACCCGACCCAAGCCATGGGCTGAGCGAACCACAGGAGCGATGCTTGGAGATTGTCACAGCAAGGGTGCAAAGGACTCGGCAGAAGGGCTCTGACTTTTCTGCTCCCTGTAATCATGGCAAGTCACTTCCCTCCTCTTCCCCTGCAGACTTTGTGCAACTGTGTCCTTAATTGTAAAGTGAGTGTGGAATTAATTTATATTCGTCCAAAGATGTTTGGGATGTTCACTGCATGTCTCTGGGAGAAAAAAATATTACTTATTTCAGTAGCAACTTTGGTAATAGGGGGGAAAAATAAAGAAAAAGTGTCTGACTGCTCATTCTTGAGACCCATTTCAGTCCCATGTGATCTTCAGCAAGTCACTTATGAGCACTTACAGACTTTCAGTCTAGAATGCCTAGCAAAGTAGGCAGGAGCCTAGCAAAATTGGCCAAGTGCCTCATTTTCACTGGATCACTCCCAAACACTTGGTTATTGAGTAGTGCAAGGAAAATTATTCATCCATATCATAGTCTGCACATGCTGGTAGCTCAATCTAAGTTTCTTAGGGCAGAGAAAGTTCATACACAATATTACAGCAGAAACAATAAATAAAACTAAAGTGAGTGTGAGATTCATCCTGTTTTTCTGTTCAAAGCTTTACTGTCCAGAGTATTTTAGCAAGGGATTTTTTGTTTTCTAGCTTCATCCTGAAGTGATAACTCTTTTCATGTTACATTGATTATCAATGAGCTGACGTTAGGCTTTCTCCTAGCCCAGAGCTTTCAGGGTTGATTTGAAGCATGTCTTATTATGATAGAATATAGAAGGACTGGCTGTGTGGGTTATTGGTGTTTGATCCCAAATAAATTCACATTCCAGACATCCAACTGGATATAATAGGCTTTTTGACAGAAAAGAATTTTCTGTGCAGCCACCCAGTACCTTGAATTTAGTGCCAGGCAATGAGAAAGCAGACAGGCAGCAGTAACGTGTTTTGGGTTATACTGCTGGACGTTGACTGTATGGGGACACTGTGCACTCCTGCAGCTGCTGAGGAGTTGGGGGGCAGGCAGCCCACGCCACGGCTCGTTCCTCAGGAGGGGGGGCTGGGGGCTGGGTGCTGAGCTCCTGCCCCGGGGGTTCGCCCGCTGCCCTCCCGCCGCCTGCGCCTCTCCTGCGGAGACCTGCTTGTGCATCATCATTTAAAGAGCCTAATAACTGGCTTGGAACAGCTGATTAATGCATAATCTTCATCACGATTACATAGCATAACTGGCATTAATTTCAAAAGCCAGCTAATTACAAAAATAATTGTTGCAGCTTTTCCATTTGAGCAAAATGGAGAATATCAGCCTGTGGTCTTTAGGGAATGAGGGATGTGACGTCAGCTGGCTGGGCCCCGGGCTGGGGCACCCCGTGTGTCCGCTGCAGC